CTCTTGCTTAGTCATAAACGCAGACCACTTCCTTAAACCACAAGAGACAATTAAATAAGTAAAAAGTACTAGAATACTTTTGTGTAACATAAAATAAAAAACCATGGTGGGCTTTTTTCCATGAACTCCATGCTTTAGGTCCTGCCACAACATTTCCATTTCAAAGCTCAGAATTTCCGCTGCTTCAACCTTTCCTTAATATTCTTACTGTTTTGTTAGGGTTGTAGATCTTCTGTTGAACTTTAATTCATGGATGGATGCCCTGACCTTCTACTTTAGTTTCCCGATACAATGTAGAATTTATGGCTCCATCAAATGATAACAAGCTGCCCACTGGCAGTAAAACAGCCCCAAATCTTGATACAGCCACCACTGTTTTTCACAGTTAGGAAGAGTGGAATGCAGTGTGTGGCTTTTGCCAAATATATTTTTCACTTAAGCCATAAAGTTCTATTTTCGCCTTATCAGTCCACAACTTTAACCATTAACTTTTCCTCTAATATCTCCATCTATTTCACACCCTTCATATTTTCTTTGATGATGTATACTGCCTTAATACCATTTGCAGAGAAGCAGCTCTATATAATGACATTTCCTCCTCCATACATTACCGTGGGCATGGTGTTGTATAACAGAACACATACAATAAAAAGACAGATTTATACATTCTACAAGATATTTTCTACATTTATACTTATATTATAATACAGGGAATTTCTTTTTATATTGCTAAACATTATGAACTTATTACATTCCATTCAGACTTCCTTCTATGTATGTACTGTAAGGTCTGTTAGAATTTCTCTGTCTTTGCAGAATAACTATCTGCAATGTTGGAGTAAAAACTTGTGAAACAATCAGTAAATGCCTCCCTAAAAGAGCTGGACATCAGTAATAATGACCTGCAGGATTCAGGAGTGGAGCTGCTCTCTGTTGGACTGAAAAGTTCACATTGTAAACTGGAGACACTCAGGTGAACTTTCTGGAAGGCAGTCACCCACATCCAAATCACTCAGCATATGTATAATGTTCCATTGCTCATTTTGCGGCTTTTTCTTTCTTTCTACAGATTGTCTGGTTGTATGGTCACAGATGAAGGTTGTTCTTCTTTGGCTTCAGCTCTGAAATCAAACCTGTCTCACTTGAGAGAACTGGATCTAACCTATAATCACCCAGGAGAGTGTGCCCACTGAAGAAACTATAGTAAGTTACTGACTTACTGACTCTACACACACATACACAAGTGAACACACAGAATGATCTTTTGGTCTGTATGCAGTTGTAAAAGCTTTGTTCAAATGGTAATTCTCTGTAGCTGAATGCTATTTCATGAATTCTCATCAGTCATCTTAACCTCACTTTCGAAGGCAGTCTTCTAATAAACCCAAAGCAAAATGAGAAGGGTGCACAGTCTAATTCTTCTGCTTGGAAATCTGAAATTTACCATAAACTCAACATTCACAGTGAGACAGATAAAAAAAAACAAGACAGAGAGTGGAGACAATTTGACAATATATATGAATTTACAAATCTGGATACATGTTTTCTTCTTCAGTGTGGAGTATGGAGGGAAAATCAGAATGAAACCAGGACTGAAGAAATGTAACTCCCCCAAACCTCACCACACACACACACACACACACGCACACACACACACACACACACACACACATTGTTATCACTTCTAATATGTGTTTTTGTATGCAGATGTCTGTGAGCTCACTCTGGACCCAAACACAGTGCACAAAGATCTTGTTCTGTCTGAGGGGGACAAAAAGGTGACACATATGAAAGATCCACAGCTGTATCCAGATGGTTCTGAGAGATTTGAGTACTATAATCAGGTTCTGTGTAGACAAAGCCTGACTGCATGCTGTTACTGGGAGGCTGAGTGGAGTGGGGATAGAGCTGATATATCAGGGACATACAGAGGGATCAGGGATAAAACAGATGTTATAAGCTGTGGACTTGAATGCAGTAATCAATCCTGGTGTCTGAGCTGCTTTAATAACAGTTACTCTGTCTGACACAATTATAAAATGAAAACTGTACCTGCCCCCTCTTTCAGTTCCCACAGAGTAGGAGTGTATCTGGATTGGCTGGCTGGCACTCTGTCCTTCTACAGCATCTCACCTAACACACAAACACTGACCCACTTGTACACACTCCCCACCACATTCACTGAACCACTGTATGCAGGGTTTACAGTTGGTCCTAATTTCTCAGTGTGTGTACAAGATGGACTAGACTTCATGCAGTGTTCTTATGTATGGTGGTAATGGCTAGATTTTACTAGGGGAACCCCATTTTTCTTCAAAATCAATTAAAACAATTGATTCAATACATTAAATTTCAAGCAATAAATAATATAGAAGAGCTGAATGCTTTGCTGTTTTTAACTTATGACTTATACTCTAGCTTACAACAGAGGGAACATTGTTGTTCCATGACAGCAACGGTTACAGATTTTTTTCCCCTTTGATTTTATTAATAACTTTCTTGTAGTCAGCAATGATAACATTTGTTCTCTGGATTCCAGCTTCTGCTTTGTCCGTTTTCCTCCTAAAGACCTTTTTCAGCAGACACACAAACACATTCTGCATCACAAACTAGTGCATGCCTGATGGCTTACTGTAACAGGTCAGTCTGTTGGCTGCTTGACTGAGTTGTTTTTAAAGTATAGGACTGTAGAATAAAAGCCTGGAACAGCAGGCAGATCTTGGCCATTAAAAAGATTAAAAACCACCCCCTTGTGGCCACTGCGAAACACTACCGAATAATTTGGGTACCCGTGCTGCCTCTTCCTCTTTCCCCCTCTTCTCCTCCTCTGTCACAAGCAGTTTCTGTTTGGCTTTTAAAAGTTCTTTTGACAGTTCTTTCAACGGGTTCTCTGTCTGCAAAGCAAAGAAGCAAAAGCTTCTTGTTCTCCTTCTAACAGAGAACAAACGTAGATAAAGATCTATTAATTTTTAATTCTGAAGGCACCATTGTGCACTGAAACCATTATTTAAACCTTCAAAGTCATAGCAGGTATGAAATTTTCTATATGTAATACAAATTATTTATTTTCGGGAGATGCTTCTGAGGAGATTACACACAAGAAAATCCACTTTTATAAGTAAAGGAGAAAGTCAAAGTGAAAAAAGGAGTTTCCAAACTTGAGTTACAAAAACTGATTAAAAGTTACAGAGAAAATGTGTCTCCTAACAACCACCTGGAAGAGCTGGTAGACCCCAAAACTGCCCCCATCAGATAAACAGCACTTAAAGCTTTCATCTTTGAGAGAGAGGAGAAAATCAAGCTGCTTCAGATCTGAAAACATGCACAGGTGTTTCTGTCCATCCTTCCACTGTGAGAAGATGACTCAGTGCTATGGGTCTGAAAGGATGTGTAGCTGTCAAGAAGAACCTCACTGAGAAAAGGAAATAGATGTTAACTATATGTTTTGTCCTTTTTACCTGATTCTAAAAAATTAATAACCTGTGCTTAATGGCCTTTTTGACTTTTGCACAGTATCGTATTTTTGTGAGTCAGACAGTGTTATGTTGAGGGAGTGTCAGCTCTTACCTGGTATCTGTGGAGTGTGTCATCTGGCTGAGCATCCTTCAGCTTTGGCTTTTCAGACAGTGCTTGTAGTCAAGGGAACAGAACAGAGACATGTTCATACAATTAAAGAAAAAACAAAGATTGTTAATCATGAATACCACCACTACAGGGACTATAACTGTCTATTAATATTCAACACTTTTTTGGTACTGACCAATTTACTTCAATACTACAAAGTATTGAAAAATTCTATCATTCCATCAGAAAGCCAATAAGCACACCTGTCCCAAAATCTAGCCCGGTGATTCACTGACTAAAGAACATTACATATGCATATTATTGATGTCTGTGTTTCTTAATTACTCTGAAGTCTGTTATGGCTGTGGTAAATATCCCCACTTCCTGCACCTCACCTCACCAAACCATTTCTGGTTTAAGCCACACTCACTAGTGGGTATCAAAGTTGAGGTATTGGTATCAGCATTAAATAAATAAATATTTTTATTATTATTTTTTTATTTATTTAGCAAGCTCTCTTTTCTTCTCGGCTCAGGAGCTCACACTGCCATAAGTGCCTTTGAAAAGAGTAAACAGGGAACAGAAGAGGGACAGGCATCAGAAAAGACTGAGGAGCTGAAGAGCTTGGTTTTGAGAAAAGCACTAAAAAGTCTAGCTCTGAAACCACTGAAAAGTGGCCAGCTTTGGTGTTGAGTTGCTTTTGTTTGTTTGGCATGAAAATTAAGTTAAAATGGCTGCTGCAACTGTCAGTCCTGCCTCAAGCGTCCTTCCTGATCCTGGGGTAGCACAGGCCGTACTACAATTAACAACTTTCCACATACCAGCTGAAATGAAAAATCCATACTAGTTAAGATTAGAATCTGAGGCATGTTTTGTGGTTATATTTTTACTATTTAAATTTAAGGAGAGATTTTTTATTTTTTTTTTAATGTAATGGAAAGCTTTTGCCTTCATTTTGATCATACTTTACAAACCTGCAGACAGCAACCAATTTAAACTCTCTGTATCAGCCTGTTTTAAAACATGTTCATTGTTGGATACATCAACAATTATCTTAAAAGACAAGATTTCAGTTACTGCAGTTGGTAAGTCTTCTTTCAATACTGATGACATCCACAATACATGTTCAGTCTTTATGTATTTAGCTGTTGGGTCTACTGATCCTCATGGTTGCTTTTTCTCTTTCCATGATTACCAAAGTCAGGGTAATTTGTCCACATCAGTCAGGAGGGAACTCAGCTGTGTTGTGTTGTGTTAAACTGGTTTTACGTATTTAGACCTCAGGGCCTAAGCAGGTCAAATCACTGCTGCTCTCTGAAACGCTTAATATATGTATAGCTATATGTCAGATGTGCTTATTGCAACTCTTTCCTGTTTTCACTGTTCAGAGAGCTCTGCTTCCTCTGTCCTACTTCTTATTTTCTGTTTAACAGCAGACCAGCACTGAAGTCTCTCTGACAGATCAGAGGAGTTTTTAAAGTTATGTAGTTTTAGAGCAATATGTTTATTTGACAGAGCTGCTGGGTTGTTTATTGCATTCTCTATCCGTTCTCAAGAAATGTAAGCCTTCAGAACTGAAAGACTAAAGACTCTGGAGTGATGCCATAACTACTTACAGCAGGTAAAAGCATTTAATATATTTACATGATTTACTCACATTATTCCTTTGTGCACTCAAACAAATAGCAGACAGTTAATTAAAGACAGACTTCAAAAGAAGAAGAGGATTGATTAAAGATCGACCTTGGACTATTTACAAAGTGAACAAGTGTTTGTGATTTTTCCTACAGTCAGATATTTGTGTCACTCTTTCAACTCCAGTCACAGATGCTTAAGCTTCAGACTAGATTCCTTTAGATTTTACTTTAGACATGAAACTAAATTCATGTCCACATTCCATGTTTAATTAAACATTAAATCAGTTTGCTGTAATACTGCTAAAACTTACAGTGCCTACAGCACTTCCCAAAATGTCAGTTTCGTTTAATAAAAATCACTTTCAAGGGAAAGTCCACTGTTTTTTTTTCTTCCAAAATTACCACACAATTTAGGGTGTGAGATGTGAGTAAAGTCATTCAGAGTGGTTTGGTGTGAAATAGAGGATCGTAGACAATCCGATTTCTTTACAGTGGTGGTGATAGGAACCAGGGGTCACCATGACTAGCACAAAAATATAGACATTTTATTTACTATCCAGAACCACCAGTGAACCTACATGAGTCTTCTGAGTTTATATGAAATGTTGATGATGGAAAATAGTGGATAATCTGAAAAAAGTTTTCTTTGGGGACTATTTTGCCTCTTAACACCCTGCATGTATCCCTCCCCCATGAATGGATTTTAAGATATCAGGCAGCATATTAATAACCTTTTGATGTAATAACTTTCTGTGAAGGAGATTTAGAAGTGGATATTTAAGAAAGGCCACTTTTAAGCAAAAACGCTTTAAAAATGTTTTATAAGAAAACCAGGGGCTTTTTTGTTTTTTTGTTCTGAACTGCTTATAGTTAAAAATTTACAAATTAGTTAAGGGATAAATCTATATCTGAAATTTTGAAAGTATAATGAGTAATACTAACAGAGAGAAAGGCAAGAAACACTGCTCATTTAAATGTTTAAAATTTCCCCAAATCAAGTGGTCTTGAGTACTGAAGTGCTTATATTAGTTGTGCATATATCAACTGCAATGTATGTTATCAAACCAGCTACTTTAACATGAAAGGCAATTTGACTGATATGAAAAATAACCAACCACAGACCTTTGTTTCAGCATGATGTGTAGGGACAGGCAATTTTCTAAACAGGCTGAAACAAAAACAAACATGCAGGGAACAGATATGTTGACAAAGTTGCGCTAATATCTAGCTTAAATGCTAACTCTATTTTGAACAAAACCCTTTGTATTGACAAAATAAAATGAAAAATTTTAACATAATAATCAAACATGACGATTAAAGAGAACATCGTTAACAAAGGTATATACATAGAACACTGGAAAGTGTACATAAGACAGCAAAGCCCCTGAGACTTTGTCTGTGTGTTGGAAAATACCAGAACATTTCTAAGCAGCAGAGGCCTTCAGGTGAACCCTTTGAACCTTAAGCCACAAGGAGGCCAATATATAAACAGTGTCTGATAAGCCATTTTTAATGATTAAATACAAAAAAGACAACTAGACCTTTTTAATGGGTCGAATTAAATTGGATCCAAAAAAGTGTAATGTTTTTAAAGCCAAAACATCTTACTCTTTTTAAGGAATGGACATCTCTTGTGTTTGGTCATAAGAATCCTTCAGTGCACGTGAATCTACTGTCCTTCATCATGTCCAGTGATACAAGATGGTAAACATTAGACCAATGCTGCTGGATATTCTTCAGAATTTGTTGGAAGAGGACCTGAAATCATTCCAGTGGTACCTAAGCAATGGTGTGGAAGGTTTCACTCATATTCCAAGGTCTCAGCTAGGAAAGGCAGACAGACATGATACTGTGGATAAGATGGTGCAGAGCTACAGCTATAATGGAGCTGTGGAGATCACACAGGCCATCCTGCAGAAGATAAACCAAAACCAACTGGTTGAGGAACTAAGAACCAAACACAAAGAAGGTAAAGAGGCTAGATGATTTCATTGTTACACTTTTTCTGTGTTTTATATTCTTTATAATGAACTGCTGTACCTTTGTCCACTTTCCTAGACATAACTGATAAGAACCCAGAAACCTGCATGAGTACAGCTCAGAATGGAGAATCAGGTAGTGTTTTCAATGCAAATAAGGCCAAAACACATTCTGCTCACTGTCAAATTTTCTTATTACAAAAAATCAGGTTATTGTGCCCCCTATGAGTTTGGTCTTCTTAATGCTAAGTTTTACAAGCTTTAGATCCAAATGAACTTCAGTATTCACAATATTGTGTCCATTAGAGTAGTGAATACAAATATTTATTGAATCTAATTTCTGTCCTGAGCATCATCCTAATAAGACTATGGCTTTTACATTTCTTTACTGCATAATCCGCTAATTTAAATTTTGAATAATATCTGGAGTAGTGTTTGAGAGAATATCTTATTTTGAATGACAAAAAACCCAACCAACCCAGCAAATAAGCCTATTTTGGTCCTGTGCAGGCCCAATGTGGGCTCAAAATTGGGGCCCATGTGAGAAGCCCACAGTGAGCCCCTTTGGGCTTAAACACTAGGACGCAAAGAGCTCCATAATATCCCCATGGAGTGAGGATCCCCTTAGGCTCCCATGATGTGGGGCCTCATAGAGACTGTACCCACTTGGTTCACATACTGCAATAAATGGGCTGTCCCAGGAGCATATTTACCACTGTGGTACATCACTTGTCCATTTAACTACACTTAATAATAATTTGAGGACTGAAAACACTAATTAATTCAGTTTTGGAAAAAGCACAGTAAGCAAACATTAAGCAAAATAAATAGTAATTGAAAGCAAAAAAACATGTATTCTTTTAGTCCTCATTCATTTTTGTTAGCTACATTTTTTATTTCATTGAAATAAATGAATCTTTACAGAAGAGCTCCGCATCTTCTCCTATGTGATTTTAGATGCCATTAGTATCTCAGCACCAAGAAATGGCATTACCTTGAGTGTGCTAGACTGCTTCTTCTCCTGAGCTTATGTTTGGGTAACAATACAACACTAATCAGTTTGCTGTCTAGCAACACAAGCATCACATTTCAATTTAGTAGCCCCATTTGGATGCTTCAGGCCCAGAATATGCAAACTCACAGTGGTCAGAAGATGCTCCTGGCCCAGTATGTGGTAACCTGTAGTTGGTGCATGTAACATTTGATTGGGTAGGTCCTACACTACACTGTACACACAGAGCCCACAGTGGCCCACATCTGGAAATGGTTCTGTGGTCTAGGTTAATCCACCATGCTCCTAAACGGAATTTCTTTGGGTTTGTATAGCCCAGTCTTGTACAGAAGACACACAGTTGTCCTGGGCAGGCCTGTTTGCTGGGTAGGATAGTATGATTTGTGTAGTGAGTCTCACTCTTGATATGTTTTTTAAATCTCTGACAAAAGCTTTGCAACGCACCCAGTTGATGGCCATCCTGAAAGAGACATATGAACGTATACTGATTGGAAATTCACTGACAGGACACAAGAAGTTCTTGGAAGATATCTACACTGATCTGATTATAGTGCAGGATGAGAGTGGAGGAGTCATTCGTGAGCATGAAGTGATGCAAATTGAAATGCCTTCCTGTACTGATGAGGAAATTTGTATCAAATGCAGTGATCTTTTCAAAATCCAGTCTGATACCAATCGATGCAATAGAAAAGTACTGACATCAGGAATTGCAGGAGTGGGTAAAACTGTGTCGGTCAATAAATTCATACTTGACTGGACGACAGGAAAGGAGAACCAAGACTTACACTTCATTTTCCCTCTCCCCTTTCGAGAACTCAATCTGAAGAAGGATAAGAATTTCAGTTTGATAGAACTACTAAATCAATGTTTTTTCACTTCAAAAACTGCAATAAAGTCTCTTTCAGAGAATGATGGTAAAGTTTTGTTTATTTTTGATGGGCTTGATGAATGCCGCTTTCCTCTTTGCTTTGAGGGTGGAGAGGAAGTAAAAGATGTCAATGAGAAGACCTCAGTGGGCTCACTGATCACAAATCTTCTTCAGAGACATCTGCTTCCTTTTGCTCTCATTTGGGTAACTTGCCGACCAGCAGCAGCCCATCTGATTCCCCGGGACTATATTGACCTGGTGACAGAAGTGCGAGGATTCAATGATGAACAAAAGGAGGGATATTTCAGCAAATACTGTAAGGAAGATGTGGCATTTAAAATAGTCTCACACATCAAGAAATCAAGGAGCCTCTACATCATGTGTCAAATACCAGTCTTCTGCTGGATCTCTGCCACTGTGCTTCAGCCACTGATGGCTCAAGAGAGTAACAAGGACATCCCCACAACCCTGACAGGAATGTATCTAAGATTCCTACTACAGCAGAAAAATGTAATGAAAAAAAAATATCACGAAAGAAGAACTAAAACTGTTAATGCTGAACACATAATTCTGAAGCTTGGAAAACTGGCCTTCCTTAATCTTGAGCAGGGCACTCTGATGTTCTATGAGGATGACCTGAGAAAATGTGGCATTGGTGTCAGTGATGGCACAGTGTTCTCAGGCATGTGCACACAAATTTTCAGTCAGCAGGAAGGAGTTTCTGAAAGGAATATTTTCAGCTTTGTCCATCTGAGTGTTCAGGAAAGCCTTGCTGCTCTGTATGTTCATCACTCACACTGCTACTACAGAAGGAATTCGCTCAGAAAGAAGACACTTTGTAACAAGGTTACATGGAGGATGAAGAATCTAACAGATCTTCATAAATGTGCAGTGGACAGGGCTTTGCAGAGTGAAAATGGACACCTGGACCTTTTCCTTCGCTTCCTCATTGGCCTCTCACTGAAGTCCCATCAGAGTGACTTAAATGAACTTCTGCCATGCCTAAAGTTGAAAAGCGAGAGTGTCACTGACACAGCTGACTACATTAAGAAGAAACCGAGTGAGCAAGTATCTTTTGACAGAAGCCTAAATCTTATCCACTGCCTGAGTGAACTGAATGACAACTCCCTGATGACTGAAATCCAGAACTACCTGAACTCAGGTGATCTCTCCACACAGAGACTCTCATCTACACAGTGGTCAGCTCTAGTTTTTGTGCTGCTGATGTCAGAGGAAATTCATGGGAAGTTTAAACTGAAGAAATACAGACCATCAGATGAAGCACTAATGAGACTCCTGCCTGTGGTGAAAAACACAAGAAAAGCCCTGTAAGTGTCATTTTCTTTATTCTTTTATATTTATAAATGAAGATTTACAATTTTGGTGTAATAACATGGACATAATAAGTGTTAATGTCTCAATGTTTCACTCTGCATTCATTTTAAATGCCATCCATACATTAATCAAATTTGCAAGGTAATGAGCTACCGTATATAATATGTATGAGCTATGCAGTGATCTAAAAGAGAAAGAGTGTCCTAAAGCTATTAGAACACTAAATTGAAAACTAGGGATGTTGCAGTCTAGTTTTTTGCCTCTCAATCTGATCTAAGTAATTTTAAAACTGAGTATGAGCCAATATTAATGTCATCTACCATTTGTGTTTTCATAAATAATGCTGGCACATAATTTAAGTATGAAATGCTAGACTGCAAATTATAATGAATTGCATCTATAATGAATGGCATGAAGCTTAAAAGCAGTGAAAACACTGCAGATAAATTTAATTTTCCACATTGAAGACATTTATTGCAAATATTTCAACCACTTTGTTTCTGAAAACACATCTGCAGGTTTGTGGTATCTCTACAACAATAAACTAAACCAGACAGTGGATTTGGCTTGTTATGGCCAAGTCAAGACAAAGTTCATTTATATAGCACTTTTTTACAACAGGCATTGTCACAAAGCAGCTTTACAGAAACATCTGGGTCTGAGCCCCTGTTAGCAAGCCAAAGGTGGCAGTGGCAAGAAAACACTCCCCATCTATACCAAATCCATTAAAATAAACCTACCAACTCCAATTCCAATCCACTTGCCTGGCATTTCTAACAAAAGTGTAAAATTCTTTTGATTTAGGGATTACTGTAATCCTTTGTGTTTTTTAAAGGAGCTGTATGACATGAATAAAAACTAAAACAATGTTTATGATGAAGGTTAGACCACTGTAACCTCAGTACAGACAGCTGTGATGCACTGGCTTCAGTTTTCAATTCAGTTTCACCCCTGAAAGAGCTGCATCTCAGTGGCAATGACCTGCAGGATTTGGGAGTGGAGCTGCTCTCTGCTGGACTGAAGAGTTCACACTGTAAACTGGAGATACTCAGGTCAGTGTTTCCGAATAACAGAAAATTTCTACATGGACATATTATATGTTACCTGCAACATACAAACCCCTCTTTCAATTAACAAGATATGACTGAATAGGGGAAAAATGCTCAGTACAAATAATTTTTATGTAAGATTCTATGTAAGCTTAACATATAATTTTGTTGCAAGTATTACCTTGCAGTAATAAAATACCAGCTGATCTGTGAGTATTTCTCGGTCCAGCACCTGAACTGTAAATAATCCTAGGAGTTTTCATCAGCTAAGTAAAGTGGTCTGCATGGGCTATAAAATTTCAACATGGGCTATAAAATTTCCAAATCAGTAGGATATGCCAGAGTTATGCAATTAAGAGCTTTACATTTCTTTTTATTTTAAATGATTATTTTTCTTGTGTAAAACAGATATGCAGTATTACAATAGCTGTTAACATAATACATTTTCACTGTTTAATTTTTTTCACAGAAAAAATGGGCAAGGGTTATCTTTGCAGCACTCTATAGCAGCAGAACAGATTGTACAACATGCATTGATCTAAGAATTATTCACTTGAGTCTTTTCACTGTGGGCCAGATTCATAAAACTTGGTGGTAACAGCGCTATGCTATGCAAAATGTGCAGGTCTGTAAATAAGACCTTTTCATCACTGTGGCAGTGATTAGTTCAGTGGTGTCTTTTTAATGCTGTGGTGTTTTTACTGGTGTTTTAGGCACAAGAGCCAATCAAAATCAACATGTAAATAAAATGTAAAAAGTCATGCATATTAAAGACTCATGCCAAGTGAAGCTTGGGTTGGCTGCCAAAATGGACACAATGAAAGAAATGACAATGAACAAACAAAGACTTCCTGGCTAACAACAACTGGCTAAATTAAGGTGAAACTGACCATACTATATGTTACAGAGGTCTACCCTTATCTGGCTGATAAAGCAATTCTTTTGGATTCATCAGTTTATTAGATTGTCTGTAATGCTAGGTAACTGCTGCTAACTGGCTAAAACATTTGGGTACAATGCTAGAGCCTATAAGACTAAACTTCAAAATTTTACACCTCACAAAACATGGCCAAAACATGTATTTTAAATGATTAATAATGTTATGAACTTGATACTTAAAGTGTGTGCATATACAAAAACAAGAGTAGTGATGATGTGTATCATGTTTTTGCACACCCTGTCAACAACCAACAATGTGCAAAAAGGAAATTTGACTACATTGACAAATAATTATGAACAAACTTCAAAAGCAATACAAGCATGAAACGATTGTGTTACCACAAAAGAGTTGGAGTGAGATATACACTAGTAAAAGAAAAAAGACAAGGAAGAGTAGGCCTAATGTTTACTATAGAAATACACAATATAAATGCTAAACCAAATAAATCTGTGCTCCTTTTGTGTGATTTGATTTTAAATTCCCTAAATGAAGTGTATTTTGTCCCCCTTTTGCAGTCTAGCTAACTGTAATCTCACAGTGAGTTCTTGCAAAACATTTACATCAGTTCTACAATCAGTAAACTCCATAAAAGAACTCGACCTCAGTAACAATGACCTGCAGGATTCAGGAGTGGAGCTGCTCACTGCTGGGCTGAACAGTTCACACTGTAAACTGGAGATACTCAGGTGAACTTTCTGTTCATTCTTAAGTGGAAAACATCAGCTTGAAAAATAAAGAAATGGTAAACTCAGGACACAAAGTCATTCAGTCAACCGTATCTCTGACTAATCAAATATGAAATATGAAAAATAAAAAATGACTATAGTGTTGACCTACTTTGTCTCTTATTCCATCAATTCTTTGAGTATACTGTAAGATCCTTTATAATTTCTCTCTCTTTGTAGACTAACTATGTGTGATCTTGGGGAAAATATTTGTGAAAATCTGCAATCAGCTCTACAGTCTGTAAACTCCTCCCTTAAAGAGCTGGACCTCAGTAACAATGACCTGCAAGATTCAGGAGTGAAGCTGCTCTCTGTTGGACTGAGTTCACACTGTAAACTGGAGATATTGAGGTAAACTTTCTGTGAAAATGCTGTAAAAAAAATCAACTAAATAAAAACACATTAAAAACATAAAAAGAAATTAGAAACACCACTGTATAGGTGCAGTGAAACTTGAAATAAAGCAAGATATGAAGATATAAAGCAAAATTAAAATTTTAAAATAAAAATAAATTAAAATGCACTTGATGAAGATAAAATAATAAACAGAGTAAAAGGAAGGGACACCTAATAGTTAACTGTTAAAAATTGTATTCTGTATATTATGTATTCTATATCTGACTGGGAGCCAGTGTAAGACTTGAGTGTTAAAGAGCTGCAGCTGTCTGGTAGATGAGCCGTCTGACAGATTAGTAGGTATTCCTGTAAGGAGATTGCTACAATAAATCTAGCCTGTTAGAGGCAGATGCATCAATTAGCTCTTCTAGATCATGTGCAGTCATAAACTGAATTTTTCACTGTTTCTGAGGCCAGAGATATATGACTGTTATGGATTTGATATGGATATTATAGCTGAGGTCTTGAGTCAACTGAAACTGAGATTGTTTTTTTCTCACTAGAGCAAAATACAAACACATCAATTTTGTCCTTGTTTTGTTAAATTTTTAGTTTGCTCAATGCATTTACATAAATAATCTATAGAATTGTAGCCATTTGGTAAATGGATGACATAATTTGGGTTCATCTACGTAGCTATGATAATATCATGTCCCACCACTCATTTTGCTCCCTGTTTCTGCAGATTATCTGGTTGTATGGTCACAGAAGAAGGCTGTTCTTATCTGACTTCAGCTCTGAAATCCAACCCTTCCCACTTGAGAGAACTGGATCTCACCTATAATCACCCAGGAGAGTCTGGAGTGAAGATGCTCTCCGATCTACTGAAGGATCCACACTACACTCTAGAAAAACTACAGTGAGCTACTGATTTACTGTCTCTATACACATACACACAGTGAATAAGAAAAAAAGTTCTGCTCTTGGTCTGTGTGTGGTTTTAATAGTTTTAACAGTGAGCTGCTCATGTCTCTTTCATGCTTTCTCAATAGAGAATAGATATATTAATCCATAAATGTGTATGTGTAGGGAGGAGTATGGTGGGAAGATCAGAATGAAATCAGGACTGAAGAAATGTAAGACCTGCCCCAATGCATACACACACACATACTCTGTGCATGTATTCTTCTCTAATGTGTGTTTGTGTGTGTGTGTGTGCGTGTGCAGATGCCTGTGAGCTCACACTGGACCCAAACACAGCACACAAACTCCTCTCTCTGTCTGAGCAGAACAAAAAGGTGGAGTGTGTGGAAGAACAGCAGCCATATCCAGATCATCCAGACAGATTTGAGTACTATACACAGGTTCTGAGTGTGGAGAGTCTGAGTGGACACTGTTACTGGGAGGCTGAGTGGAGTGGCAAGGGGGCTGTTATAGCTGTAACTTACAGAGGGATCAGGAAGAAAGGAGATGTTAAGGACTGTGGGCTTGGATTCAGTAATCAATCCTGGTGTCTGAGCTGCTTTAATGACAATTACTCTGTTTGGCACAATTATAAGATGATTGCTGTACCTGTGCTCCCCTCCCACACCTGTAGAGTAGGAGTATATCTGGACTGGAGGGCTGGCACTCTGTCCTTCTACAGCATCTCACCTAACACACAAGCACTGACTCACATACACACACTCCACTCCACATTCACTGAGCTGCTCTACGCAGGGTTTAGGGTTGGTCCTGAGTCATCAGTGTGTGTCTGTAAGATGGAATAATCTTTATACAGCGTTTTTGTGTTAGTTGTGTTATGACCAGTGGTGGATAAAGTACACAAATCATGTACTTGAGTTAAAGTAGAGATACCCATGGTAAAATATTACTGCAGTAAAAGAAGAAGTTTCTCCCTTTAGACCTTCACTTAAGTAAAAGTACAAAAGTATTTGCCTTCAAATGTACTTAAGTATCGAAAGTAAAAGTACTAAAAGATTAATTATGACTCTAATGTCCTAAACCAGTCTTTAAATAGAATGTCATTAATTAGTCTGTCACTGATGTCTATTAAAATTATCAAGACCACAAAACACTGAAGGAAAACAATTTCCATTAGGTAGAACCGAGTGACTGTGAAATAACATTTTGCAAACAAAGTTTCAGTTTAAGATTTACTTGCAACTTAGTTACAAGTTTAAGTTTAATAAAAACTTGCTTTAAACACAGATTCACAAATGAGTTTTCCTTTACTAAACTGCATCTGTAGGTCTCTGTTCATAAACATAAACTAGCCAAAACAAATTTACTATAAAATGAAATAGTGTTTGTATAAATTCTGAAAAAAGAAACACGCCAGTCGCAACTGCATATGTGTACATATTTCTATATTGTGGTCTATTTACACAAAGTTAGGTTAGTTCATCATTTATGTTGGAATAGACACTCCCAAACATTTATGCTGTTACACTGTCATTGAACCGTATGCTTGGACTGGGTAGGTGTGTCCAACAGGTCAGAACAAGCTCAAAACAACGTGCGCAACGTGTACCCTGATTGGTGTTCTTGCTTCGCGCTTTTTTGTTTTTACATGTTACTTTTTTTTATACACACATAAGACAAAAGGAACAACAGATTTCGCATAATGTAGTGGAGTAGGGGAGTGAAAGTAAAAAGTTGCCCAAAATGGAAATACTTCAGTAAAGTACAGATACATGAAAAAACTACTTAAGTACAGTAACAAATTACATTTACTTGGTTACTGTCCACCACTGGTTATGACCAGTGGTGGAAATGGCCAGATTTTACTGGAGGAATGCTACTTTTCATTGTGAAATTGTGTACTTAATGTCTGTTTTAAATAACATGTTTTACATTCATAAACTTTATTAATCTAATAAATTCTTGAATTTTAAACATATTTTGTTGCTGCTCTATTTTTCTACCTATTATTCTTCAGTTCTGACATTTGCTCTCTGCTTTCTGCCCTCTTCACATTCCTTCTCTTCTCTCTTCAGTCTAAAATGTACGAGACCAGAGTAATATGTTCACATTTTCTTTTCTTGGTAAATGCCCAGGCTGTTGCATTCCAAAAGGCCTGTCTCTTGCAGCTCCAGCAGAAGGACTCTGTAATGTTATCTTAACACAGTAGTTGTGAAAACATTGAATACTGAAGTTGCTGGTCATACAATCATGCATTTTTAACACAATCTTCCATAAAGTGTAACTGTTTCATTGAACCTGGCTGAGCAACACACAACAGCTGCACATTACACAGCACTACATAAAGTGCAGACAAATGACACTGTCAAAGAGATACAGAATATACAATAAATACACCAGACAATAAACATATTGGACAATAAATATACATGGTACCAGAGGTGTAAGTAACGAATTACATTTGCTCTTGTTACTGTACTTGAGTACAGTTTTCCCTGTAACAGTACTTTTTGGAGTAGAATTAAATCATACTTTTACTCTACTTGAATTCATTTTTAATAAAATACTTTTACTTTACTACTTTAATTTTCATAACATTACAGAGTAAAAATAAATGATGAGCGTATCAGCTCGGAAACCAATACGAACGACGCTCGATTAAATTTAAAATATTGACCAAATCACTAAACAGCAGCTCCGACAGGAAAAGCACTACAGAGATGACCAGTTTAGTGGAGAAGGACAGAGGAGAACTGAACCAGCACACAGGAGGAACTGACCGTGCCCAAATGGTCATCTATGTTCATTTAACATGAACTAAAGAAAACTGAATTATTATCAGCGGCCGAACACGAAACCTGCTGAGATCCACTCTCACAGCTCCACTCCAGCCTGAGGCAGCGTTAGCCAAGCGAGCTGATCCAAGCTGAACAGGTACCGTGTTCACGGGTTTCTTCTGTCTTTATAAAGATTCTGTTTATTACACTTTAAATCTGCTGCGTTTATTTTATCACAAGTGCCTCTCAGACACTTTAGTGAACAGGTGTCGCCCACAGCCTGCAGTTCATCCGTGTATACAGCCTAGTTTAGCTGCTGTTTGGAGATCAATGGTCGTGAATGGCTGTGAGACAAGAATTCTAGTCTAATATGGTTTTTCATCAACTCTGGACAGAGATTCTGTCACGCTGTCGCTCTTTAAGCTGACTGGCCTGATCTGATCCATCCCCACCTCCCTGTTTCTGCTCTCTCTCTTCCTCTCTCTGTCTCTCTTTCTCTCTCTCTGTCTTTCTTTCTTTCTCTCTCTCTCTCTCTCTCTCTCTCTCTGTTCCGCTCTCTCTGTTCCTCTCTGTCTTCCTCTCTCTCTGTCTGTCTGATTCTGTATGAAGTGATCAGCATGATTTCCAGTGAAATATATTACAGTAAAATCAAAGCTGGGTAATTTGCTGATGTTGCTGCTTTTATTGGTGTAAATGTTCTGAACAGATATCAGTCTAAATATACAGTGTGAAGGCTGTGAATGTGTTTACTGTCTGTAGAAGTTCACACCTATTAATGTAAGCTAGAGTCCAGGGAGCTGATGGGCAGCAGGACTCTAAAATCACAAAAATTACATTATTAATTAACACACTACGTGTGATCTACTCATAATTTTTTTCTTTTAAATGAACTTAATTAAACATTAACAATCTTCAGACTGTCTTTCAGCGATTCTAAAATTCTTTATTGGAAACAGATAAACTAAGTTTTATATAATCATCTAACTATGAAATGCACGCAGTGTAATGTAAGCCTTGTTCCTTACACAGTTCACAGAAAGGTGTGTAGATGTGCTCTTGCAGAGCAAACTGTGATCAGTTGTGGATGGTGGTGGATGCTCTGATACCTTTTGCCAGAAGACAGGAGGATGGGGTTTCTTGACTAGGCAGGTGGTGTTGAAGATCTGGGTGAGGTTGTTGGTGATTTGCACACCCTGAAGAAATTTTGAGATTTTGACTCTCTCCACAATTTAAGCATTGATGTTCATTTGAGAGTGATCACCACAGGTCTTCCTAAAGTCAAAAATCATCATTTTATTAGATAAATTGTTGTCTATGCACCAGTCTGCAAGCTGCTCCACATCCTCCCTGTATGGTAACTCAACATTGTTGCTGATAAGATCCACCACTGTAATATCATCAGCAAACTTGAGGATGTGTGAGGATGGGGCTCAAGACAGTCAAATAAGATTAAATGTTAAAAATAAAGGTTAGACTAGTAAGATCATCGCCTATAGATTCAAATAAAAATCTTATAATAACGTATGATTTTGATTCTTTATAATTACAGTGGTGTGAAAAAGTGTTTCTTATTCTTTTGCATATTTGTCACACTTAAATGTTTCAGATCACCAAATTTAAATAGTAGACAAAGATAACACAAGTAAACACAAAATGCAGTTTACAAATGAAGGTCTCTATTATTAAGGGAAGAAGAAATCCAAACCTACAGGGCCCTGTGTGAAAAAGTGATTGCCCCCTTAACCTAAAAACTGGTTGGGCCACCCTTAGCAGCAACAACTGCAATCAAGCATTTGCGATAACTGGCAATGAGTCTTTTACAACGCTGTGGAGGAATTGTGGTCCACTCACCTTTGCAGAATTGCTGTAATTCAGCCACATTGGAGGGTTTCCAAGCATGAACTGCCTTTTTAAGGTCATGCCACAGCATCTCAATCGAATTCAGGTCAGGACTTTCACTAGGCCACTCCAAAGTCTTAATTTTGTTTTTCTTAAGCCATTCAGAGGTGGACTTGCTGGTGTGTTTTGGATCATTGTCCTGCTGCAGAACTCAAGTGCGCTTCAGCTTGAGATCACGAACAGATGGACGGACATTCTCCTTCAGGATTTTTTGGTAGACAGCAGAATTCATGGTTCCATTTACCACAGCAAGTCTTCCAGGTCCTGAAGCAGTAAAACAGCCCCAGACCATCACACTACCACCACCATATTTTACTGTTGGTATGATGTTCCTTTTCTGAAATGCTGTGTTACTTCTACGCCAGATTTAATGGGACATACACCTTACAAAAAGTTCAACTTTTGTCTCGTCAGTCCACAGAGTATTCTCCCAAAAGTCTTGGGGATCATCAAGATGTTTTCTGGCAAAACTGAGACGAGCCTTTATGTGCTTTTTGCTCAGCAGTGGTTTTCATCTTGGAACTCTGCCATGCAGGCCATTTTTGCCCAGTCTCTTTCTTATGGCGGAGTCATGAACCCTGACCTTAACTGAGGCAAATGAGGCCTGCAGTTCTTTGGATGTTGTTGTGGGGTCTTTTGTGACCTCTTGGATGAGTCGTCGCTGCGCTCTTAGGGTAATTTTGGTCGGCCGGCCACTCCTGGGAAGGTTCACCGCCGTTCCATATTTTCGCCATTTGTGGATAATGGCTCTCACTGTGGAGTCCCAAAGCTTTAGAAATGGCTTTATAACCTTTTCTAGACTGATAGATCTCAATTACTTTGTTTCTCATTTGTTCCTGAATTTCTTTGGATCGCTGCATGATGTCTAGCTGTTGAGGATCTTTTGGTCTACTTCACTTTGTCAGGCAGGTCCTATTTAGGTGATTTCTGGATTGAGAACAGGTGGGGCAGTAATCAGGCCTGGGTGTAGCTAGGGAAATTGAACTCAGCTTTCCAAAGATGTGATAAACCACAGGGGGGCAATCACTTTTTCACACAGGGCCCTGTAGGTTTGGATTTCTTCTTCCCTTAATAATAAAGACCTTCATTTATAAACTGCATTCTGTGTTTACTTGTGTAATTTTTGTCTACTATTTAAATTTGTTTGGTGATCTGAAACATATAAGTGTGACAAACATGCAAAAGAATAAGAAATCAGGAAGGGGCAAACACTTTTTCACACCACTGTATATCCACATGCTATCAATTTAAAAATATTTAAGGATAATTAGGCACCCATTATACAAGAATTA